AAAATCAGTCTCTTTTTCAGATAGTGAATTAGATAGTTGTATGCTTATTTATTGCCATTTAGTAAATCACAAGTATTCACGAAAAACGTATTTTTACTGAAACTCGTCTGTACGAATTGTGCTAACAGGAAACGCGTTTTTTTGCAGACTTTTAACTGGTCACATTGAACAAAGAAATACTTAAATTTTCTTGAATATATTTTTATATTTTTTTCTGTGCTGAGTTCATTAAACATGAAAAAACTGCATTCTACAGCACATGATCCAGGATTCGAGACCATTGTGTCAGGATTTTTTTAGGATGCCAAGCAAGTTGTTCTTGTCCTTCCTATACATATACCAATATAATACTGGCCCTGTGGGATTTAACATGCGATTTAGGGGTTTCCAGAACATATATAGTACAAATTAAAATCTGGACAGTTACCGTAAATTGATGGTACATTGAAGAAAGGAAAAAGGCACACATTTTGCGAGTTTGAGCGAAGCAATAGAATGGGTGTAAAACTCAGAATATGCTTAGTTCTCGTAAAATAAATATTCTCGATGGCGAAGGGGTGGAACGACTTCTAAGAACGTGGAGTTTTGTGGAACTGTGGAGAGCTGTGAGTTCGGAACCAGTATAAGCCATGGGTGTTTCCACAGTGTGACTCGTGAAGTTCCACACGGGCATACACACACGCACACACACACACACTGACTCATTCACACATTGACACATTCACACATTGACACATTCACACACTGACACATTCACACACTGACACATTCACACACTGACACATTCACACACTGACACATTCACACACTTACACATTCACACACTTACACATTCACACACTTACACATACACACAGACACACATACAAACTCACACAGACACACACGGAATAACAGACATACACACACAGGCTTTGCGTGTTTGAAAGTGTGAAGGGTTATAGAATATGTTCATGGTCGATCGCATTTCAGGAGTATTTGCGTCGCTATTTATATTTCGTATAGAAGCATTTTCAATTAAACATAAACGTCCTTAATAAAATTTTCCGTTTTTGCTGTTTCGCAGCCCGAATTTTCTTCGTGAAAAATTCAATCGTTGTAACCTTTGTGAGAGATGGAATTATATACATTTCTCTTGAATAATTCAATGAAATCTGTACGAAGGTATCTAGACGAAGTTATATAGTTGTTACCTTTAGAATACTAGTATTTTATATTCTTTGCTTTGAATCCGCGGAATGTTCTGAAACATTGGCGGCCAACGTGTTAGAGTAATTAAGACTTCCTTAAACACGGGTGGACTAACGCATAAGTAAAATAAGCTTCGTGCATCAGCTGGATGGAAGCTCCTAGTAATATTTCAAGTTTTATTACAGTTCTTGAATGTGTGAAAAAATTAATGCAGCCGAAGTGGATTTCTAAGTACAGAAATCATATTCTCACTTACACAATTGTTCTACATGTCCAATTCCTCACTCAAACTAAAAAAAGTGTTTGATTCACTTCAATAGGAATAATATTAAGCAGATTCGAATCACATTTGTTTTAGTCAAGAGGCAAATGGAAAACAAACTTGTCATACTTTTACAAGTACCTTAATACGTAGCACGGTGTCTATAAATCAAGTTCGGTTACTCGATGGCAACAGCGAGTAAAAATATAAGAATGTCGATTTTTGACACATTAAATTATTTACAAATTATTTAGTTGTCCTGCCTTTTTTTCATATTCACAAATAGTCTTCAATTTTTCAGTCGCTGGCAACAAATTTAACTCTCTTTTCAAACAGTTTTGACGTGCCTAAAACCAACCGAATATTCTTTATACGCATTCAACCTACTAATCAAGTAAAAAAATTGAGTTAGTGTACAGGTAGTGAAGAAACATCCAAACATTTCGGAAAATCCGACATTGCTGAGAAATTCAATAATTTCCAGTGTTCTGTAATGCAAACATTGAGATAAATGTGAATGGAAAAGAAGTCTCAGTTAAACATACTTTTTAATCTCACTAATAGGGTAAAAAATCGTGTCTTCGTCATCATTCATATACGTATCTCACTTATCCAGGTCTCTTTTGACGAGGTTTACCTGTGTTGTTGTAGAAACTGTCGTAAATGTAGTTTTTTAAAAATATATTCGATGTTTCAATATTATTCAGAATTAGGTCTCATTGTTTGGCTATGTACAAGGGCCATCGTATTATTAACCCGGTTCTTCTCGTAGTGAGGGTTTTGTGTTCTGTTGATTGATTGATCGATCGATCAGGGTTACCGGGCGCGTCTGTTAAGGTCGTTTTCCCGTAAGGGCAGTGCATGTTTATATGACGCCAGGTGGCGGTGATGTTTCCCCACTGGATGGCGATATCCGGCACAGATCTACACGTTGTCTTGCGGGGTTTTCCCAACCAGGTATCTCCCACCAGCGGGTCCTCCGCCCACCCGGGATAAGCTCTATGCTCCCAATCAGTTTCTCCACATGACGTGCATGTAAGGTGTGTGTAAGAGGTTAGGAAAGGATTAGAAAGAAGAAGTGAAGATCGCGCGTGGTCCTTGGCCCGGTTGTTAGGGTATTGCTCCGTTATTCGATGTTTCAATATTATTCAGAAAGAGTTCTCATTGTTTGGCCATGCTCAAGGGCTCTGATGCTATTAATCCGGCTCTTCTCGTAATGATGTTCTGTTGATTGGTTGATTAGGGTTACAGGGCGTCAACTGCCAATCTCATTTTCCCGTAAGCGCAGTGAATTTTTATCGTGGGAGGTGGCTATGATCTTGCCCCGCTGGGTGGCGATATCCGGCACCGATCTACACGTCGGCTTGCGCGGTTTTCCCAACCAGGTATCTCCCACCAGCGGGGTCACTTCTTAACCGGGACAATATCTAAGTTCCCAACCGGTCTCCCGACATGTAGTGCGTGTAAGTGTGTGTAAGATGTTTGGATTTAGATTTATTGAGTAAAAAACAGTAAAAACTGTATGTGGTGTCAGGGGGAAAATATTATCTGCGTACGTTTTCTTGAGTTCCAGAATCCCTTCCCGTCATTTTAACTATAAATAGTTGAAAGAAGAGTAAAAGTTTATCATAAATAAAAATAATTAAAAATTTAAAAATTAATTTTGAAAATCACAAGATAAGCAATATATGTAAATTAGTCATTTTTGTTAAGAAAGGATTAGTAAGAAGGGAAGATCACACGTGGTCCTTAGTCTGTTTGTTAGGGTATTGCTCTGGTATTCGCCTGGTGTTGATGGGTGAAACCACTACAGATCAGAGCAGCAGGCCAGTCTTGCAGCCAGCGGCTGAATTCGACCTCAGTATGAAGTTGGTGTCGAAAATTCTGCCATCGTCGGTACTCGAACCATAGTTCTTCCCTTTTAGGCACTGCAGTGACCCTCATTAATGCCCTAAGCCTCCCAAGTCGGTCCTGCCGGTCTTGTTGACGGGAAGGTCCTACGTGCGAGTCCCGAATGCATATGTGTCCTTGTGAATGACAATTTTTGAGTGTCAGCTCACTGGGACAGAAGCACTGCAGTGACCCTGTCGATGTCCGTAGCCACTTTTGTCGGTTTCTAGGTTGTTTGGGTGTGTTTTCTTAAGAAGTCCTCGATAGGTACATATTCTTTATGAGGAGGAACCTCTATGAGACTCGCATTGATGCACGTACGGAAACATAATGATGGAAGCAAACTTTAAGGAAAGTGAAAGATTTCTAGGCTCCCATTGACACCCACGAGGATTTTCTTTATTAGCCAACTCCTCATCTCATTAACGGCAAGATCCTCCTACTCACGCAGAGAATTATTACGATTTGATTTTCTGTCTTAAAGTTGAACTCATGAATATCATCTTCTTTTTTGTAATCACATAGTAATTTGACATTGATTTTCAGTGAATTGTTTCTTCGAAGACTGCTTTCAATCTTTTTAATCCTTCTTTTTATTGAAGTGATAGGATGATGATGAAGGGTGAAGGGACGATCGTAAATACAACCATGCCCGAGGCGGATTCGAACCCGCGATCCTTCGATTCGAGATCGCCACGACACTACTGCCTCTCGGCTATCCGGATCGACCACGAGGAAAAATGTAGTTCTAAAGTAGTGTAAGTTTGAATTCTGAACTACACTCGAAATACACTGTCTTTTCCACGCGACCTTTCTTAACTTTCTAAATGTCAACTTCCGTATTTACTGAAATTACTGTAAATTGTATGTACCAATTGTGTCAGACTATTGTACTTTCCGGATGTTAACAATTCATCATTCGATTTCCTCAGTGTATTATGATCAATAGTTGTTGGTTTGTTTTTTTCTGAAAGGAAGTTCTTGTAATTACAATGGTGTTTTTTTTCTATTTCCAGGTGAGTGTGCAGTGTAGAATTATCTTTGTTTGGGCTATCGGCGTTTCGATGGTGAGTCACATCCTTTTCAAATTTAATATCATTAGATGATTTTGTAGCAATTTTTATGACGCATTCCCATTTTTATTCACGTCAATATAAACTTCAATACAACAAATATAGTGACGTCTTCTAATTTTGTAGTAAATACTCTCTCTCTCTCAACGCTGAAAGACACAAAGAGAATGAAGAAGAAGAAAAATAAATAAACTAAATGTAAAAGCCAAATTAATGAAATGGCATTATCTCTTATTCTCCATAATATATATAACACGGCAGTTTGAAATGCATTGAATTATTTGGCATTGTTGGTGCGATAAAGTTTTTCACTGTATGGAACGCAGTTTTTGATTTTCGTCGATGTCTTATGTTTAAAAGAATTAGTTGTCCATATCTCATTGCACTACGATTGGTAATGAGTTATACAAGTGATGGGTGGTATGTATTAAAATGAACTGAAATTGCTGTGTTATGTAACTCATTAATTCGTGAACGTACGTGCTATTATAGTACCACTAGTTTCTTATAGAAGTAATACCGGATCAGGGCGGACATTTCGTCGTATTGAACTGAAAAATGGTTAATGAAGAAGACGAGAACAATAATTATCAAAATATTTATTGCCAAAATGTACATTTATGAAATGCTTATGTACAAATGATTTCGACAACATGAATTACGTTAGATGTAACAGAGCATTGCACGGTTGATTGTTAATGTAGTGTCGTTGCTGTGAAACACCATTAGTTATTACCACAAGTAATACATTTCGGGTAAAGTTTGAGAAATGGGGATATGTGAATTCTTATGATTTTGAAATGTTGGGAGGTATAGCCTACACTCGTCAAAATATTTGAACTGCCAATCTCTCGCTATTCCTTGATGGTAGCGAAGCTCTGATCCTTCACTGTCTACGCCATTTATGTCAAACAACCTTGAGTTTGTGGAATGCATAATTTGAAATGCTCTTTTATGCCAGAGTACTTTTATGGACGAGTTGATTTGCCCTGACGCATTTCGAAATTTACAACACGACGCCGACCTTCTTCCTACGCAATGAGGAAATGTAAAACTCTACAATGTGTTATGTGAGACGAAACATTTTGACCCGTTGGAATGTTGTATCAAATTGCAAAGGGTTCAGATATCAAATTCGTACAAAACGCAGCTGCGTGGCATTGAGAAGACCTTCATCAGTATATGTTTTAACAGTATGTGTTCTTTCAAGATCTAAATATTTTAACTGTACGTGAATTTTACGTGTCTTTTCTTTTTATGTACAGAATGCTAGTTTCAGTTTATTTTTGATATACTGAAAAGTTATAGAAAATTTATCTTCAAATTCCTCTCATGTATAGAATTTTTGTGTTTTTAAATTTAATGAATAATTGTATAAATTCTTGTCATCATAAAGGAGGTGAGAAGAAAAAAAAGACAAAAATGACTGAAATAAAAACATGAAATTACTTTCTTCTAGCTATTGATTCATTCCGTCCGAAAGATTGAATTAAAATAACGAAAGTTTTATCATTGCCTAACGAACTTCCCCTCCACGGAAATTAATCTCTTGTAAAGATGACTCAAAACATTCGACGAATAGCGAGCGACCGCTCTCCGAATCCGAGGGGTATGGATGGATTGTTTGCTCTTCGCCGAGCGCCAAACAATCGGTGTTCGCATTAACGCGGCTCAGTGTTTAGCGAGTAGCGAGTAACTACTCGCTGAATCCTGAGTTGTGTGGATGGATTGCTTGCTATTTGCCGTGCGCCAAACATTCGGTACTCGCCGTAAGGCGGCTCTACACATTCGGTGTTCGGCGAGTAGCGACAACCGCTTGCCGAATCCCGAGCAGTATCGATGAGTTGCTTGCTATTAGCCGAGCGCCAAACAATCGACCTTTTCCTTATTCCTCTTTTCCTATTCCTATGTTCTAGGCACATTCGGTATTCGGCGGGAAGCGAGTAACCGCTCGCCGAATACCAAGTAGGCTGGATGAGTTGTCGGCTATTTGCCGAGCGACGAACATTCGTGCTCGCCCTACTCGTAGCACGTCGATCTGTTAGGCGCAACAAAGAAAGCAAACATTCGCCGAGCATTTCGGCTACTCGCGATTGGGCGAGCAGAAGCTCGCTATTCGACGAATGCCGAATGTTCGGAGCTCCCTAATGTTCACATATTTGAGTGCTGCTTGACCAAACGACCAGTCTAGAAGTGAAGAGGCGGCGAAATCGGCAGCAAACCCATTTTTTGACTCGCAATGCGGTAAATTGTTTTCTCTGGGGCGATGAGTTTCCGGTAGTTGTTCACCACGAGAGTCAGGTAGATGTCCCCAGCTGAAAACAAATATTATAATCATTAAGATTTTCCCGAATAAAAGCACACACTAGCATACACAGTTTGTCAGAAAAGTTCCTGAAATATTTTTTTTGCATACTAAGTACGTCATCACGTAGCTGTAATAAGAACTAAATGCTAAAAGCGAACAAATAATTTTTCCCTCAAGTCTGGGGAAGCATCATTTAATTTTCCCTCAGATTTGAATCCGTTCAAGTAGTGATGGCAATATAGGTGTTGTGGTAAGATATCTTTGGCATTTTTAAAATAATTAAAGATGTTGTCATTGCCAACAATGTTTTTTACTTCAAAAGAAGCTTTCGATGGCTTAGCCATCATCATCAGGTGTCAGACAACTGATGATGATGGCTAAGCAATCGAAAGCTGCTTTTGAATTAAAAAACATTGTTGGCAATGACAACATCTTTAATTAGTGATGGCAAATTGTACCAACACGTACCAAAATGTCAATAGATTGATATTTCGATACATCACCAAAATGTTTTGATGTCCAAGAAAAAATCGACAAAAACATCGATGTTTCCAATATGATGAAACTGGCGGTATTTTCCCATTTTTAAGTGTATTTTCGTTTTTAGGATATTTACATTTAAGTATATTATCTTATATTTGCCTTTCATCTTAATTTTCTAATCAATATGCTATATAGACAAGGTTCATAATGCTGTTTGCAGACGGCTAGACAGATGGCCAGACAGATGGCCAGACAGACGGACAGACAGACGGACAGACAGACGGACAGACAGACGGACAGACAGACGGACAGACAGACGGACCAGACAGACGACAGACCAGACGGACAGGACAGACGACAGACAGACGGACAGACAGACGGACAGACAGACGGCGACAGACGCGACAGACGGACAGACGGACAGACGACAGACGACAGACGGACAACGGACAGACGGACAGACAGACAGACGGACAGACGACAGACGACGACAGACGACAGACGAGACAGGACAGGACGGACAGACAGACGGACAGAACAGACGGACAGACGGGACAGACAGACGGACAGACAGACGAGGACAGACGGACAGACAGACGCGGACAGACAGACAGACGACAGACAGAGGACAGACAGACGGACAGACAGACGGACAGACAGACAGACGGACAGACAGACAGACGGACAGACAAAAGGTTAGTTTGTACCGTATTCATAATTCAACAATGTTTAGTATATACGAGGGGCAGGGACTTCGGAGCTCAAGAAAGCATGCGCAGATTACACATCTCACCTATATGTTGTATACAGGTTTCACTGTTTTGACAATAAATAAATGAAAAAAAAAATAGTAAAAATATTCCTTTCTAACTGGCACATTTGCAAGAAACTTAATGTTCATTCAAGTCAATATTATTTTGTACTTACGGAAAACAATCAAGAATAAGATTGCAATTGTAATCGATGAAATAATTGCTTTTGCAACGAACAAAAGGAATATATAATATGGTATGAGTGTTCCGTGTAGGATGAGTCTCACTGCGGAAGACCAAATCCAAATCGTGATGCGTTTGTTGTCTGCCTGTGGAAGTAAAAAATATCTTTTAAAATCCATTAGGGCAAATATATAATAATAATAATAATAATAATAATAATAATAATAATAATAATTATAATAATAATAATTATAATAATAATAATATAACTATTAGTTTTAAGATTCAAATTAAATCTCAATAGCATCGTAAATGTTCATTGAATTAGAAGTAGCGAATTCTTGAAATAATCTGCTCAGAATTCAGATTTACGTATTTGTTGGTGACTAATGATTAGATTCCTATTGAAATGTGACACAATTAAATTAGGTGTTTTTGTTTCCTATCTATGAGTAAGATAGTTTATTTGAACTTGTTTTTGTGTCGAATTACTTTTGTGGTCGCAGTGATGTGTTTCGTCCGCTCACCATCCCAAAATACTACTCGGGTTCAAAGACGGCCACATATTTATTTATTTACTTATTTACTTATTTACTTATTTACTTATTTACTTATTTACTTATTTACTTATTTATTTATTTGAAGAAGTAGTTTCTTAGGAAATCTCAGTCTCGTTGTGCAAATGTGGGGAGTATTTAAAAATAAATGAAAATCAAAAAGGTTTACCTTATGAACTCCGGCGTATAAGAAGTAGCAAAACAAGAGTTGGACGGAGTTGGCTATGCAAAGGGCTGCAAGTGTTCGCCGAAACGCTGTGAAGCAAGCAAGACGTAGTGAGCCTTTATTAAGGATTATTTAGAATTATCGAGATGTTGCTGAAAATAATATGAATCGAGAATGTCGTTTCATTGACTCAAGCTCGATCCCCAACTCGATCAGGTTTCCCTGATACGTTGAGCAAATACTGAGATGGCCCCTTGTTTTACTTGTGGACGTAAATGTAGCTTCATTATGCGCACGTTTTGTTAAACTCTCCTTTTGCTTGTAATGGTAGGAGAAGAGGTAAAGGCGAGTTACTATTTTGTTAGCAATGAAGAAAAATCATTCTTGCAATTCGTTTACCGATGCAAATAAGTTTTCTATTACTCGGGAACGAAAATGTATAGTTTTTCTTAAATATTGCTAATCTCACGTTTTTTTAAATTTATTTTTATTTATTCATTTTAAACTTTTACTCATATTTCAACTCTTTATAGATAAAATGATGGGAAGGGATTCTGGAACTCAAGAAAACGTGCGCAGATGATCTTCTACTGTATATGCATATACAGTTTTTTACTGTTTTTGACTAAATAAATATAAATCTAAAGCTTTGTTGGATGTTCCAACGACTCGAGCTTTGTTGAATATTGTTGAGTGTTGCAACGGAAGTAAGGATGTATCCGTGATGTAAATTCACCATTGATATAAAATTCCTTATTCTAGTAACATGGATTTTCTGTCATTCGGTTTTATTGAAATAATTTTTTATAAAATATTTCTTTTTATTGGCGAACTGTTCCTATTTTTAGAAGTAGTAGGAAAATTGGTTAGATTGATAGAACATATAAATTTAATGAATTCACAAATGCACGCAAGTAGAGAATAAAAAAGGAAGATTTTCAATTTTGAAATTACTCAAAAGTTGTACTCGACGCTTACAGGTATGAAGTTTCGACTTATTAATGAAGGCTTCTTTTAGTCATTTGTATTATTGGTTGTAAAGAGAGAGTAAGAAAATCTCGTAAATTCACTATTCACTAATACCTCTGGAGAAAAAAATCGAAAATAAGTTAATTGTTTGCAAGGGAACAGCTGCCTAAAATGTACCTTTAATATTAGAGAGCTTTTGCAAGACGAAAAATCCATTGTCGTAGTACGCAAACATTATCATCAATAAGAAATAACGTATATTCAGACAAATGAGTTTTTTCAAGTCGTGCAGTCGAAAATATACGTTAAAACTAGGAACTAATTGAAACTGCAAGACCTTAACAGAACCTAAAAGCTTTTATTGAACATCTGTGTATGTCTGCGTCTATTTTTGCTTTTGTAAGCTTTACAAGATAGTAAAACGAATAATACATGAAATATGATTGTATCATACGAATATGTAATGTGCATGTCTTTATCTTTAAAGAAAACTATAGCTTTCTAGATAGTCTTGGAATGTAATCCAGCAATTTTACTAGAACATATTTATATTGGTTATTTTAGAAGTGGAAAAAGTATGACAATTACAACGCCCTGTGGAGAAATAACAATTTTTGTGACAATCTGTGTAGCCTCGATGTAGACATAACCTCCAAATTCTAAACAATTGCGTTAGTTTATTTTCTTAGTATATTTGAATTAACTTGAGTAAAAGGTAGGCATTAAATTCCTGCCAATATTGGCACGGTGGATATTGTGTTTTTCATTACATTCACGCATTGGCGAAGAAAACTACGTAAATTGTAAGTTATGAAAACATTTGTCGTAGACAACAAAATCGGTCAATAGAAATCCCGTCATTTGATGCTGGAGCATGCGCACTATAATTCTCGACAACTGTCGTGTTACGTCTTTCAAATCCACGACTTGCAAAATCTCTCCAATGACTTAAGCTACCACGTAGATTATGCAAAAATTAAAAATAAAATAAAATAAAAAAATATAAATTAAAAAAAATAAAAAAATATAAATTAAAAAAAATAAAAAAATATAAATTAAAAAAAAATAAAAAAATATAAATTAAAAAATAAAATAAAAACAAAAAAATATTTTTTTTAAAAAAAGAAGAGAGTATCTGCTTTTATGCGTAATCCTATATTTATGTCACCTTGACATATTTCTTTTTTTCAGGTGTGTAAAATGACTTGAACACTTGGGTTTTGAGGGCCCCAGATGGGGGTGATCATTCTGACAGAAATGGAGTTTTCGACCTTATAACTCAAAATCTGTGAACAAAATTTGCTATTCAAAGATAGATCTTTAAATAAGGTCTTATACAAATTTTCGGAAATTTTAGTAGATTTCGCGTAATGTTTCGTGAAATATATGCATTTTTTCAAACAATTATTTTCTCAGAAACTGTTCAATTTTTTCTTTGAATTTTCTCCTTGTAGGTACGGTAAAAACAATTGTGCTGGTACCATTTTTGGCAAACTTTCTTTTTTTCGAAAATTGCAAACAAATAAGCATTGCAAAAGTATGATATCTAAGGCAGATATTTTTCATTAAATGAAATTTGTTCTAAACGATCAGATCATTGAAATGGATCATATAACTTTGTTTTTAAGAAGTGACTAGTTTTGCCTCATTTCAATTTCAAGTTCACGCAATTTTCAAAAAAATTCCCCAAACAGCTCCAAATTTTTTTTCACGGATAAAGTGAGGACACTTAAAAACGTCATTGTAGTCATTGTCATTAGATTTTCGAAAATTCAGAGAATTCAAAGTTCGAAACAATGCGAGAAAGTACGTGATGTGGTACCACTCTTGCTGTTTTAATTTAACGCGTCATTGTGTCACGTGACATTAATTTAAACCGGTCCTGGTGCTAGGAAATGCTGAACGACCAGAGAAACAATTGACAAAGTAAGCATGGTTTGTTGCCAATTAAAGTTAACTGGCGCTTTTTGTTTTCGTGAAGAATAGTGTTTAGAAATGGTGGGTACTCACCTATTTTTCCGCCGTATTTCTCAAAACTCGTTTGAATCTTCTGAGCCCCAGTGATAAAATCTGGTCCCACGAGTAGTGGGTAAGATGAGAGTATGATCACCAGCAGACAGGACATCTGAAAAGAAAATAGGATAACTATTATACGTGGTGTTCTTTGCATGCCACTACAGTCCTATTCATTTCATTGGTTAGTGATTTTGGGCACGTCAACTACTAAGGTAAATAGTTCCGTAAGTGTAGTGCACGTTTTATCCCGAGAGATGGCGGTGATCTCCACCTCCCGAGGGGCGGAACGTGCACTAATCTTACGGGACTAATGAATAAAACTGTTGACGCGCCTGGAATCACGAAATAATCAAACATATTGTGGTTTTAAAACATAGGTTTTAAATCCTGAACCAACTTCTGCAAATTCTTACTTCTTAAAGATGCAGTACAATTGGGCCTCAAAAGCTAGTGTAGTACTGCATTTAAGTAATACTCTTTTGCACAATATTTTCTACATACCGAAACAATGAAGGCAATAATTAGACAGTCTGCCTGTAAGTCCTCGAGGCAGATTGGGTGGTATTGTGACTTTCTCATTTTGACATCTGGAAAATAAATTATAATTTCAGTGTAAACTCATTTCAATGAATTTTTGTAAAACGAAAATCTCCTTACATCGTAATCATTGCTTGAGTTTTTTGGTTTATCTTCTAATCCTTAAATTGATTCATTCTCCTTATATAGAGAAAACTCTCTATAACGAAAGATAATAATGGAGCCCCCAAGTTTTATTATAAAGAATTTACACTGAGTGTAAAAAAGGTATGGATTTTAGTGCATTTTATTGAAATTTTTGCCTTTAATGCATTTTATTGAACTAAAATTATAATTTAGTTTAGACACCGGACTACTGCTTTTTTTAAAATTTATCTTTATGCAAAAAAGTTTTTAATTTTTACATTAGCCTCAAAAGAATACACGTTTAGCGTTTAGATGCTAAGCCAGGAACAAACTCAGTATTTGATACGCGAATAAAAAGAAACTGGACGAAAACTTGATAGAGATGAAGGTCGCTGACCCTGAAGTTGTTGATAGAATATGAGCGAGATGAAAAGTTATTTTTAAGTAGCAAATAAATAAATAATTTTCATAGTTTTATCGACAATAAAATTTCAGCCCATGGAAGTGAAAACCTTTTTTGATAACGCAAATAAAACAAATGACAATATGTCAAAATATGTGAAAAAGTAAATTGTATATATAAACATTTATAGATTCATTTAGTTAGCCCTAAGAGAATTAAACCACCCGAAATTTTTTTAATTGTTATATTCTTTCAAGTAAACGCGGAAGTGTTTCCTTAACTCTTCCGTAATTTAGTGTCACCTGCATTTCACTTCCATCGTCTTCAAGAATTACCTGTTAATGTCAAATCACAGTTCAACTAGAAAGTGAGGTCCATTCGCCGAGATATTGCAGAAATTCCCTTGAAAACTCCAGTCAGCTATCTGGGGTTGGTCCGGTTAAAAATTCCTCTTCATTTCTGTGTCCACCTCGAGGGGATATGTAGAATCTTTGCGTACTTTCTCGCGAGCAGTCAACTGTCACACTAGGTGAACACAGAGAATTAGCACCTGACTATCCACTAGCCGTTTTCGTCAAGTACCGTACTGTCACACTGCGTACTTAACAAACGGCGTGATAGATATTCGACGATCCAATGGCACGCTGCAAACAGTAATTAATAAAATTTTTAAAAAAATATGAAGTACTTGCCTAAATCACACACGTTAACTCGGGTAATTAATTTACACCATTAGTTTAACAAACTTGAAAGATACCCTGGAATCTCGAAGAAGTAATACGTTTAACGTTTTACGGATGATGGCTTTATAGAAGTCACCTGTGTTCGAATAAAACAAAAACTTGCACTGTTACTGGAGGAGATAAAACAGCGGAACGTGTTCTCCATACGAATTGAATTCATACAACAGGGAATGAACCCGCGAAGTCATTCACGACTGACATTCTATCATGTAGTCGAAATCGCTCGCATGTAAATGTGCTCGGTTGTAAGAGAGGCAAGTGGGGTCAAACTACGCGTTATCGGATCCAGCTGATGCACGTCATTCATCAAACACAGCGTTTTATCTTCGTCAGTGTTTAGTATTTGTGGTTGCTGGTTTGTGCAGACAGGGACGGTTGCACTTGGGGTTACCAAATCAAGATAAACGAATATATCCGTAGCTTACAGAATGCTTTTCACCGACTCATTTTTGTAACATCCAGCATTTGTATATTACTGTCATTTGAAAAAAATATGTAGCAATTTCGATATTTATAATTATTTAAACAATTGCACGTGTGTCTGTGATTTAGCCCACTGTTCCAAATATTGAACAGTCAATTCTATGTTTTTGTTAGAATAATAAGTTCAGCAATGATAAAAATTAATATATATCATATTAACATAAAAAACGCTATTATATACTGACGTAAAACAAAAAATCTATTTTAACAAACACAAAAGTATTCAACAATTTACTTAAATGTAGACAAACATAAAATATTCCCAATTTTAAATTATAGAATATTGTAATGAATTCTTCATTAGTTTCGTAGTTGTAGAGAATAGCTAGGCTGATACAACGGCACCGTGCGGAACCAGTGCTTTTGAAATGAAGGTTTGTCAATAAGGACCCCCTCCAACTCCAAATAAAGATGATATCCCTTTTCATTTTTTTTTTTTTCTTTTTTAAGCATCCCGAAGTGAAAATTCTGTAACAAATTACGTGTCAACCAAATATTTGATTAAAGGTATACCCTACTATTGCTGCAACTGCAGGGAGGGGGGGGGGTAAGAAACTTAACAAAGAAATGTATCTATTGATGGTGGAGTGAGTGAGGGAGGAAGGTTTTAAGAAACCTATCAGATACGTTATCAGATGTTTGCGTATTTGGCAGTTTGTTGAGTGACTCGACAGATTGTTTCCTGAAAATGAATTTGTAACATTTTCCACTCGAGTGAAACTAGCAACAGTACATAACGAACTTTAGTTTCACATAACCACAAATCGAAAATCTTAATAAAATTAAACCACAATATAACAAATCATACCCTAATATATAATTTAAACCTTAAATATTTCCACTCACATTAATACATAACATAAATAAAAAAAGCTATCAAAAAATGTGAACTGAACCATGCACCAAAATACTCCATTTAAAAAGGAAAGGGGAATCATAAATATAAATATAATAATAAATTTTAACATCGCAACACCATAAAAGATTGAAAATAATCATTCCCATGAATGATCCATTCATTCTGCTTTTTTGACAGTTCTGTATCTCAAAGTTTGGGAACAAAAATTTGAAATTTCTTTTCCAAAATATGAACCCAGGGATTGGAATCTTTTTGGCCTAAAACGGAGAATGATTTCGTCGTCTGTGCACTTCCGAAATGACATTAATCAATAGCGGATGGAAGTACATTCTAGATATCTAACGATGTCTCGGACGCAACTGCTTATATGCATTATGCATTTATGCTTACATGCATTTGCACGTACAAAATCGAACTAAACAACGACCTTAAAGAGGGAACACAATTACGAAAAAACTACTTATATTTTCGAAAAATTGTATACGACTTCATTTCATGTGCCCATACAAAATCGAACTAAACAGCGACCTTAAAGAGGGAACACAATTACGAAAAAACTACTTATATTTTCGAAAAATTGTACGCGACTTTATTTCATGTGCACATACAAAATCGAACTAAACAGCGACCTTAAAGGAGAACAAAACTACGAGAAAACTAGTCGTATTTTCGAAAAATAGTACTAAAGAAAGACGTGTCTTTGAGCGAGATTTCATTCAGGGGAAAAAATCTACATCTTTAATATTGTAATTGTTGGAAAACAGCAAAAAAATTTATTGAACTTCTGCAATTTTAGAAAATTTGTATATTTTAACCAAATGAGATCTGCGCGAAAATGAGATTTTTTAAGTGCCCTCTTACGCTATCCGCGAGTACAGTTTGGAGCCATTTTTGAGAAAATTTTGAAAACTTTGTTGAGGATTCCTGTAAAGTTCTCACAAAAAGCGGAATAACCGTTTCGAACGCCCAAGACCTGAACTCGTTTTGGTCGATCGGGGAATCGATGTTGGAAAAAATCGTGTGAATGGTTTAGACGCTAGCGTTAAAGCAGACGTGCTATTTCCGCCGCATCATTACGGTACTTCCTCTTTATTGCGTAAGTACAAATTAATGCGCGAAAGTTAAAAAAAAAAGAAGAAGAATAAGATATGCAGTTTACTCCATTTCTCTTACGGGCAGGAGTTCCTATTGTTGTTCAGAGAGTAATTTGGAAAGAATCAAGACCAGAGGCGGCGCTGAGAACCGGTGCAGAAGGTGCAAATCAGTGCTGTGACTACGCGTAAAGTAGCATTGATTTTATTTTATTTTATTTTATATATATATATATATATATATATATATATATATATATATATATTGGTTTGATTGGATTGGATTTATTTAGTCAAAAGAAGTAAAACCTATATGTGACGTGTGGGGGAGAAGATCATCTGCGCACTTTTCTTGAGTTTCAGAATCCCTTCCCATCATTTTAACTATAAATAGTTGAAAGATGAGTAAAATTTAAATTAATAAATAAAAATAAAATTTTAAAAAGCACAAGATTAGCGACATTTGAAAAACTAGACATTATCGTTCCCGCGTTATAGACAACTTGTTTGCAACGGTAAACGAACTGCAGATTTGATTTTTTCTGCGTTGCTAACAAAATAGTAACTCACCCTTACCTCTACTCCTACCACTACAAGCAAAAGGAGAGTTCAACAAAAAGTGCGCATAGTGAAGCTACATTTACGTTCAGAAGCAAAACAAGGGGTCAACTCAGAATTTGCTCAATATATCAGGGAAACAGGACAAAAACATGATCAAGATGGGGTCATTGACACAGAAGCTGAAGCACATTATTCGTTACAAACACATTTAGTATTCTTAAAAAAATTATACAATACAAATGTGAACTAATTCAATATATCACTGTTTTGTTATAATAAACATTATTTTTCTTTTTGATAACCAGTATAGTCTGAGATATGCAGTAGAAAAGATTTTACTTTTAACTTAAATTTGTGAACAGACTTCAAATGTTTAATGTCATCTTGCAATGTGTTGTAAAGTAACGTACATGTATTGTATGTGGATTTCTGATAGTGAGCTGTTGATACTGACACTTGATGGATGTGATTTTTACGTGTTTGTTACTGTCACTTGATGAACATGATTTTTACGACGTGTGTTGTGATTTTGTCAAATAATTCATAATAATAGTTACAAAATAATAGTTACATTTTAAAATGTTACATTTCCAAAAATGTTAATCATCCGATTATTGTTACAATTAATGTGTGGATGAGACAATAATTCATTGTCGCACTAGGACATTGGCACTTTTTTCACACTTGAACTGTAGAGGCAACCCCATTAAAAGTTACACTAATTTTGTACGGTAAGCAACATGTCCCACAACTTATATCTACATTCTTGGCAATTTGGATCAAGAAAACCTGGAATTAACACTGAATGGTGATGACATACAGGTACAAAGAAAGTTTTGTACTACTACAGAAGAGAGATCAATTTATGATAATATTGCACTTGAATTGTATTATTTACACTTAATTATATGGCTTTTGTACCTAGTTAGAAATACTGAGTTTCAATCCAAATATCATTTTTTTCTCTAACATAATTGTAGTTTTTGTGTAGTTTGTATTAAAATTAAATTAAACAGTAAACAGAAAATATATATTAAAAAATCAGAAATTTTGAAAACAACTCAGGATAGAGGCCAAAAATTGCGACATACCCTGATACATCAGGACATCTGGTAACCTAACTTTCATTTCTAGTGTCACCATTGGTGATCAGGATGTCATGTCAAAATATTTAGCATTTCACTAAACTGAAAAGGTTCAACATGTTCAATCTGCATGCATTGTTTTGGAATAATCAATGTAAGTATTCAGCCATGGTGTATGGGGATATATTCTACAGTAAAATATTAAATATGAAGCTTTTTTTTTTTTTTTGGGGGGGGCGGGCATTTTTACTTTGCTTAATGGGGGTTCTCATTCGGAACACTGATGCTTCGCACTTTTTGGCCCAGCCGAGCTATACTGCTCAGCAGCTGGAATGCTGAAACAATTCAAAATGAGAAGGGGCTTTCTTGTTTATGAACAACCACATCTAATAGTAATTAGATGCAAGTATACAAGTATTAGTACAAATCGAATTTTCCATATATTGTTTTAATATGATATCTTTAGAAACACTTTCTTCTTCCCTCATGAAATGTATTTTTAAATTTACCTTAAATTAACTATGCTTTCAATGTGTCATTTCTATAGTTATGATTATTATCTATCATTGATTAGTGAACAAGAATGATTCAAAAAATATATGCATTTGTATGTATTAGAAATATGGAAGAATTTTTAAAATGAAGGAAAAGTTCTAAAACATTAAAACAATGGGAAGCAGTATAATTTGCTTCTTCATTCTTTTTCAAATATTTTCTTTTGTATGTTGTGTGAGAATAGTGCATAATAGCTCTTTCAAACTTTGTTTGGAATAAACCTGGTAGCCCTGTTTATTAAAAAAAATTTTGTTTGTTTTTGCTCAGAAAATCCCTTTGTGCACATGAAATATTATACATAATCAATCTTGAAAATCCTTTTAATTCCAGGACAATATCTTTTACAGCGATAAATTAACTCGTGAAAATTATATTGCAATTCTGGATCTGCTTTATTGAATCAATTAGTAAATGTTATTCTATGCTTGTATTTTTACTATGATATATTTATGTAAAATATTTAGGAAAATAGCAGCCTACAGTGGTTTGTAATGTCATGCACATATGTCTACTAAGTAGCAAAAAAAATACAGAGCAGTAATTAATGCACAAGATTAATCTGTAAAATTCATAAACGCAGTACCTGTGTAATCATTGATAATGTAATTTTCTTTTTCTTTTCTTTTTTCTTAGACAAAATTAAGATCCTCAAATTTATGATTATCATTCTCTACCAAACTATTTATCCATAGTGAAAGTCAAGAGAATAATATTTTGTCATGTCTCTGGAATAAAGATATACATTGTCCACTTCTACAAAAGAAGTCTACTCTTTAAGTAGAAAAAAAAAAATTTATTTACTGTATATTTAATTGTACATGTGTTAGTAAAAACATTCATTTCTGAACAGAAAAGAGGTACAATATTTGCTTTTAGAGCAATAAACCCTGATGCATATAAAAGCAACATACATTTTTTACACACAGTATTTGTTGAATGAAAAATAAAACTCCATTCTTTAATGATAATGGAGAACTATTCTCAATCAAATCAAGAGTAGCAGAGCTACCATATCTATTACTCAAAAATAATCTGAAAGTAATCTAATTGTAGTCCATCCACAAATATGCAAATGCAGACACACTGACAGTCTTCCTGGCTGATACAAAACTACTTTGCATTGGAAGAGGCAAACAAAGGGGCCTTATGAAGCAATTGATACCACATCTTGCCATAATTTTCTTATTTCAACAATTTTCACACTTTACGGGATATATCATTTGATTTGTTTGGCTCTCCCAGCATTAATCTAAACTTCTGCTACCCCACTCCTTTTCACTCTCTCAATGTCCTGATCGTAGAAAAGACTTCCTTAAAACATATCTTAAATTTTTAATTTAAATGTTTCTACTAGGTTTCCAATTCAAACAATTTCTTCAGTCTTGCTTTTAGAGAAAGAAAATTATCTATATTTTTAGTGTCATCATAAATATCCAATTTTAGACACAAAAAAGGTAGGATACTAGCTTCTACAATTTAGTAAAAAAATACTTCAAAGGTAATTTGTATATAAATATAATTTCTATGTTCTTCAATGTTAATAAATGCAAAAGGTGGGCTTTTGTGTCTCCAAAGTATTGTTTTACCATATTGTTTAACAAATTATAAGCCTATATTAATTTATAATTCTGAAATTGAATTTCTTCCAAATATTTTAAGTTTCTTCCTTAAATTTTACTACATTCCTGAATATAAAATTACAATAAAAGTAAGCTTCTTAACATAAATCCAATATACTTAAAAGAAAAACAACATGTGAAACAAACATTGAATATGAGTTATTGAAATATCGTCACAACTATCCTACTACTACTAACTACTGCTACTACTAACTACTACCACTACTACCACTACTACTTCTACTACATGTTTACAACAATATTCCAATTACATGTGAATTGGATTATTATTATTATTACATGTAACATTACCAGTGTGAACAACAAAATTCCAATTACATGTGAAACCATTCATGATGCTATAGCATTTATTATTATTATTATTGATGCATAATAAATTTGTATTTCTTTAAATCTAGATCAGAGATCTAAAAAATATTGGAGTTGTCCCGTTTTTTCACTGAAAATGAACTTGCTACTTATTGAACTTAGGGCCATAAAGTCTTATTTTCATAGCTACACTCCACAAGTTTATTCAACAACAATGCCAAAAAGCTGAGTAATTGATGAGATATTAAAGAAAAGATGAATTTTTATTAAATCCACTGAAATTTTTTCTTGGTGGTCTCTTAAATTTTATTTTGGAAATTGTTTGAAAGTAATTCAGTGTGGAAACTGTTGACCACTAGAATGAAGTAGACTGCAAGAGCTGAAAGAAAGAAAAATATTTTCATTAATATTCCCAGAAGCATTTTTTGATACAGAAAAATGTCAAAAGCAAGTTATTTTGAAACAAAATGAAATAATTTTACAGGCTGTTGTAAAGTATCTGAGTAATTATTAATATATCTATCTGAATATTGACTAATTTTTACAAATGTAATATTAGTTGTTTTTAATTGTATTATTTGATGGAGCACTTAATATTATTACGTTGACAGTATTGTACATTTTCAAGAAAGGTACTTCTCACACACATGTCATTATTTCTGATATTACATCTCAAATTAATTTTCACTGCAGTATATTCAGTTACAAAAACCACTGAAAATGAGTTATTGAATTTTTCAATATTTTGTATCACATGAGTACTGAGATAATAAGAGATGTGATAGAAAATATTCAGGCAATTTTTCAGTAAGTCAAGTTTCATTTGAAACATTTAAAAATTTTCTGTTAGCTTCGTAAGATTTATCAGGCTCCTTAAGTTAGGCTTACATTCTAATTTTTGATGATTATGATTATTATTATTCTAATAATGACAAAGATGGCATCTTACCAATTCCAACAGCCAACATCACAAGACCCAGAACTCCTGCCATGGCTGCACCACTGGTAAAATGGAAGATGATGTTCACAAAACTCAGGATAGATTGAACAACCAATGCCATAATAGCAAAGACAATCCATGGTTTGATCATTCGAGGTCGCTCCTGTAAAGCAGTGCAGATAAAGAAAATTATAAATATTTCAAGAAAAGATAGAAAAAGGAATGGTAATAATTCTATGTCTCTCTTACCAAGTGAAAAAATAAATTTTATAAAATCGTGTCATTGGTGAGATTATTTACTTCTTTAATTATTTCTGTTTATAATTAAGTAAATATTTATTTAAAATTGCACTGTTAGTTATTTGAATAAATAATAATACTATAAATGCCATTTATAACTAAATAATAATAACAATAATAATAATAATAATAATAATAATAATAATAATAATAATAATAGTAATAACAACAACAACAACAACAACAACAATTACAATTATAATAGTATATGATATCAAATATTTTGACTTTTAAAATGAATGAACATACAGACTCAATTAATATAGACTCTGGAAATAATGTAGACAGTGGAGGTTTTGTTATAGGGAACTAATGTAATTGGTCCCATTCCATTTAATAACTAATTTGCACTAGAGGATTTTACTGCAGTGAATACTCAACATTTTTTATAGTTAACATAGTAAACAGAATGTCCAGAAAAATGCTCTTTTATATTTTCTTTATAACTTTTAGCTGATCATTTTCAGTCTATCTTTTTATGATTTTTTAAATAAATGCAACCAACTGAACTTACAAATATACTTTATTAAACTAAATTTATTTTTGTTCATCATGGATGTTTTATCATTTCTTCACTCATTTAAATACTAAAGCCCTAAATTGTGTTTTGTCAATCCTGAAATATTTACAAACAATAACTTTTCACATTAATTAATTACTTATAATGAACATTAATAAATACTTATTCTCACTGTAACAAAGCGAATAAAATTAACATATGTTATGAATAAAGTTCTCTTTCCAAGTTTTCTCAGTCAATGTAAAATATTTTGATGTTTAATTTAATTTGTAATAAACATTGTGCCTGCAGAGTGACGTATGAAATGCTTTCAGAATTCCTCACTCGTACACAATCAAAATCCACAAGTAGTGGTGAAATTAATGTTTCAAAGCTCAAACTTATAGTAGCATTTTTATGCTCTACAATGTTACAAGAGAGATTAAAGAAGTAAATTGTGAATCATACAATGCGGTTTATTTCATTTCAAGGAAATTATTCGGTAAACCATTAAGGGAGCATTAGATTCTCAAATATCTCAGCTTGCCTGGGGTACAAAATAACCTGCCACTCACTCTGTTTGATTGGTAGTCTTACAAATTATTATTACTATATTAGAGTCAACTCACTGCACTGGCTCCAAAGACCATCAAGATGTCAAAGATCAGGTGGATACCATAGACAATTGCGAGGCAGATGAAGAGCGCACTCAGGGCTGCAACAATAAGATTTGTTTATAATGCATACTTGCCTAAATCACTCTGTAATTCATTCTTTTAATAGTTATTTAATTGTCTGCTTTCAGCAAATTGTTTCTTATTACATGTTACACTATGGCAAGGAGAAATCAGGAGATAGACAATTAGAATATAGATAAAATAATTATAATATTAATAAAAGTATTAGTTCAACTGATATGAATATAAATTTAGAAAATGTGGTACACAATATAATATATATTTATATATTCTCTTGTTTTCCATCTTTTAATCTGCTTTTAGCTAATTTGAAGAGGCAAAAGCCAAATAACATTTTCCTCTAAGAAATATAATTTAGAAGTAAAAGAAGTTCCCTTGTAAGGAAGACCTGTCAGTTTGTTGCCTAGTTATGTTGACACAAGATGGGATACAAGGACTGCAGGGGAACATACCCTCCCACCCTGCAAGCCATCGATTTTTGTAATTTTATTCAAAATAATTAACATTTTAGATCCCATCACCTCCAAAGCAGTAAGATCTCATCACATCACAACCTACTTCCTTTATGAATATACTAGTACTTTTTTTCTCCATGCCCCCCTCAAAATTTAGTTCTTGATCTGCTAGTGATGTTGATCTACAAATATATTTCTCTTGCGTGTGATTCATTATTGATTTGAATACACATTCCCAAAGGATGATCAGGGCAAGTGGTCTTAATTTTGAAAATTTTGAATGCGACCTCAAACCCTTATGTCTATTCATTTATTTCATTAATTTTATGTAGTAAAACATTTTATTTTTTTATGTTCAATTCCTGATTATTCACACTTTTTAACTTGACAATTTGGGACATTATTAGGAAGAGGCTCCCAAAAGCCTTATGTCAATCATGTAAATGTATTACCACAAAATCAATTGTAGTTATTTATTGTGTCATTTAAGTTACTTCTTCCTTCTCATTACAATACATTTTATTTATTTACTAATAGCGTTTCGTATGTTAAAAGCAAAACACCAGTATGTTGTATGTAATAACTTTTACATACTATGGGTAATGGCCCAGAATTATAGTCTGCCCTGTTCTTGTTTTAGTCTGTTTTAGTCTTGTTAGTGTATAGTCAACTTACTCTTGTTGCCTGAATTTTCTTCCAAATGTTTAACTGCCTCCTCATATTCAGCTTGATCCAGAGTAATACCTTTCTGCTTTTCCAATTCTTTAAGGAATTCCTTCTGAAGCTCTCCGGTGCCTACAGAAGCACCCAAAATGCTCATTATGAGGCCGCATAGGGCACCAATCTGTAAAGAATTTGCTTTTTAATGTCCATTTAATTGACTAGCTTGAAAAAAATGCTTTAATATTAAATCTCTGATATCCAAGCAAAATGAATATTGTATTATGGAGAAGAATTCTAGCGATTGCTCTGATTGACAGTTTTTCATGGTTTCGCATGTGAATGCCAGAGAGTACCATAACATGATAGGTCATTAAGTTTCCTTCAATAATGTTCCAATGAGATCCACTTCATGTGTAGACCAATTTAAAACTAGTGGTGCTCAGAAACACATTCTTTCTCGCATTACTTCTAAGATTTGCCATATTCGAAAATTTAGAGTGTTCAACATAAATGTGACATACTCCCTTTATTTAAGCTTCAGTTAGGCAATCCGAGGACAAAGTTAAATCAAAAAAATTTGATGCCATTTTTGAGATAATGTTGAAAATGTTGTGGCTCCGTGAAAAGTACCACAATCAAAATATCTGTTTCAAACTCACAGGGTCTTCGAGTTTTTTCAGATCAATATTGGAGAAAAACATTTTTTTAATGCTTTAAGCGCTAGCATTTTCTGCAGACGGAAGGACACAGACAGAAAGCCGTCAATTGATTTTTCGGTATCAAGCTTTTGAACCTCCACAAAACATCGATTCTGACTATTCAGCGTGATTGAAAAAGTAATATACTACATACAGGATCAAGATTTATCCAACTGTGATGTTACCAGGGTCTGTCAATAAGAGTTTTTCAGTCGAAAATTCTCAGATTTTCTCTTTTTAACTTACGTAGAAAGGCAAGAAAGTACAAATCGAAAGAAACTATTTTGTCTACCCTTTGATTTTATGTTGCATCGCAGCATACAAACAGTACAATCAAACGATACAATCATACACACAATCAATCATATCTACAAATCATACAATACAATCAAACTAACCCCAGAGAGAACACCAATGATCACTGTGCCAGTCTTGAGGCTGCAGCCGCAGCAGCAACTTTTCAGGTGCATCACCATCTTGAAGTTCTGCAGCAAAAGAAAGAACAAGTTAAAATATTTTCACTGAAACAGGAGTAAAAGCAACATTAATCACAGTCCTAATTTTTTAAGTTTGACATTTCAAGCATTAAATCCTTCGATAATACAAAAGTGTGACGGTAGAAAATATTTAAGAGGGAGCCATTTTGTAAACCAATAAGAAATACATTTTTTATTTAAATGTACAAAAAGAGTTAACTTTAATACATTTTTCTCAACTAGTTAATTTATAGTATACTGAGCATTAAATCAAAAATATATATTTTAATAATGATAAATGCGTAATTGTTACTTTTGCCTAATAATTCTAAAAGAATACAAATCTCTGTATTGTGTACTTCTGCTCCTAAGTCTATGACACCCCATATCGATCATGTCTTCCGTGTGGTTTCTCTCATCCATTGAACAATTGCTGGGATGGTACCTTGTTTTGCTTCCAATCATAAATGTTGCTTCAATATGTATACATTTTGTTGAGCTCTCTTTATGCTCATCGTAGGGGTAGCGTCAAGGAAGGGTCATTATTTTGTCAGCAACATTATAAAATCCAATCTATAGTTCGGAGTAATTATCCATTAATGTAGTCAGTTAAAGTCATCTGGAGAAATTCTCCTTGAATGCACACATGCCATAAAGGTCATTGCCTTTGTCCCTATCAGCCAGGCCCTAGTGTCCAGGATTCCCAAACGGTCATCTAGGCAAGGACCCAAGGTGTGACGAACTGCTTAACCTCTGTCACTTCATTGAGCGTGGTTAAGCAGTTCGGCTATTAACGTCTTATCAACTCAACGTTTATTTTGCGGTGCTTGCTGTTTTGTTTTGTTTTTTTGCGGCTTACATATCGCGTAGCACTTCTATCATTAAACAGTAAACGGAAAATGAGGTAAAGGAAATGGTAGGAAGTTACACGCCGCAGTGCTGGACAAAATATTTCTCGAAAACGTTGCCTGGTCGATTTTTTCGCAGACTATTTATCCGTTAACATAATGCCAAATTGCACAAGAGCAGTGAACGGTAAAAAAGGTACGCTTGAAATGTAATGCCTCAAGGTGAATGGTTAAAGGTAAAACTTTTACGGCTCAGGTGAATAATTGATTGGGAGATTGCCAGTTAGATGCCGGAATTGAGATCCAATGGTTAACATTGGTGAGATTGTGGCACCTAATGGATTAATTTCCACGGGCATGTGCTCTGATCAGTGACTTTCGATGTTTCTGGGGAATGCCGGAACAGAGATTTTCTCAACAAGACAAGAACAGTACAGGATCTTTTCTTCTAATCATACTCGTCATCAACCACTTTTCATGTCCCCTAATCCGTACTAGGGTGCCGTGGGGGAATATGTTCTGACCTAATCCATCCCATTATGACCTGAAAATGCACGGGACTATAGAAAGGAAAAAAGAGAGTTGAGACCTATAAAACGCACTATAGACACGCTTGAGGTATCGGAAATGTTCGTATTTAAATATTAATATATTTTATTAAGTGACATTGATGAAATTTTAAGATAGAAATAATATCCATGGCAATTCACAATTATGTGGTTTGGGTGTATGGCTCTCATGCAAATCCCAACCACGCTAATATGACGCACGTTAATGTAAAAAGTGCAACAATTATAATACTTCTAACAAGGCTTTATGAAGATAAATTACATTTCAATGACAATACAGGCTTATTTTCATTTTGAATAGTCAACGCTATTATGCATCTCCGAAACGACATTTTTTTACAATTAGTTTTCATATTTATGACTAACAATTTTTTACCTTCGATGGCAACGTATTTTGTATGATTTTGGAGCAGTCGATGTCATCTGCACAAACTTTCACGCAAATGAGAACAATTCGTTAAAATCATTTGTTTAATTAAAAAAATCCACTGTAATCTGTAGTGTAATGATATAATTAATGTCTATCGCCAACTTCTAAAAGTATTAACCGACCTGAACGAACTTTTTCTCAACTCGTACACGGACTCATCAGATAGAACTAATCCGTGGCAAGAAGATCAGTTAATAAGAACATTGATTAACCTTCGTTTGTATTCTGTTTATTGCTTGCTTTTGTACTTGTTTCCGCCCTACATCTTGTCACTTAACCCCTCTATATAGACGTGACCTTGTTTGTGGAGTCGTCAGGCATGCGACATATGACGACTCCAGAAGTCGACTTTCGGAGAGCCTTCCAGCAAGGCAATGAGGCTGGGGCAGTTTTTGTTCTACTGCGATGACGTCACTTTGTTGTCAGCTGGAAACTGGTTCTTATTACAGGATGCAGATTTGTTTGGTTGTATAAACAAGCTGCAAAATGTTTTTTGTTGTTGCTTTTTCGTTGAGTGTGCGAAGTGAAAGCAAATATTGGCGAGACTTATCATGCGTTTGGTGGCGATTTGTTGGACGTTGGGAAAATAAACATGTTTCATTTCACCAATTTGAAAAAGTTTTCGTAATAACTTTATTTTCTTGGGTAGTATGTGTCGAGTTGTCATTGTTGTTAAAACCACAACCATTGTCATGGCTGTTAAAAGAGAATGATCACCTAAGAAAGGAAATAATTTGTATGAAACCTATCAGTTTCAAAGATGGTCAGATACACGTATTTTGTTTTTTCCACTGTCTAGATCGCGAAGTTAGTTTTCTATACCATAGGAAGAATGATCATGTGTTATTTACAGATTGCAGTTGTGGCCCTTTCCTGATTCTTTCGGGCCAAAGGCCGGTTTTTTTCGACCCTGTATGACTGTACTCCTTTCCTAGCTGTGAATAATACACAGTCGTTCCTCAGACCGACGCAATGATATATGGTTGTGAGCACACATTCTCTGTTTATGAATCTGAAGATGGAGGGAATTGTCACCTCTGAAACGTTATATTGGGTGAAAGTTCAAATTAAAATATTTTAAAAAGGTAAATGTAAGGTGTTATTGTACACCTGAAGGCTATGGGGCCCCTTCCAAATTTTTCAGATGAAGGGCCGCCACGACCGCCCTGTCCCCCCTCCCCCCTGTGCGCAAGCCTGTGTAAATAACTGGTGCGTGGGTCGCTCGCCGACATCCAGCGAGGAGGACACGGCTCCAGAATGACGAGACCAGATGGGCGTCCGTCTGAAGCACTGCCAACACGTGGTGCCGCTTCTTCTCACTTCCCACGCCACCGCCACTCCCACTCACGCCCAGTTCTCCCCCGTCCCCGCCACCGAGC